CCATGGTCTTGAGACTCAAGCTCATACCATGGTACTATATAATAAATACATAAAGTCCGTACTTCACCTAATACAAAATACCATCCATTTGTGTCATGGTCTGATATATGTATAATCATCCATCCAAAAACCACATTAAGTCATTAAACTAGTTTGTTGACATGACACACGTAGGTGATGGACTTAACCTATATAGTTAATCCATACCTTAATCCAAATTAGGTAGAACTTAGTGTTTGAACTAGTCCATACCTAGTATGTCACCGTCCCATACCGGTATATACAATCCTCCAGTTAACAAAGTTGACAAAACAGTAATAGATACTTATCAACCATACTCCAGAATTAGCATAAATATAGTCCAACATGTATATGGCCAATTAATGCATTCAGTATAAGATTTGGAAATCACATTCCAGTTCTTTATATAAACAAAATAAGACTGCACATTTAACTCCTCCAAACAGTACCACAATTGATGCAACAATCAATGGACGTAACCATCAATTAATTCCAACTAAGCAAGCTTATTTTTCCAGATAAATAACTATATGCTTGTAACATAGCCAAGATATGTTTAATGATTTTAAATTATGCAAAGTATCCAAATTGTTTTGGAAAAACAGTAAGAACAGTAATCTAGTTTCAATTCCTTCATCCAATGTTCCACAACAGGTTTATTGTTGAACCTTATATTATTGCATGCTTCGACATAATAAATTCAACATGCTTCCTAAGAATTTTTGCAAGTCTGTAACAAGTAAATAACCCATTCACAGCCACTGGAACCTTTTAAACCAACCCCTACTGTCCAACTCAAGCCCAGAACAAGAAAAATCAAGAAAAATAGGGTAGAGCTGCCTCCTAAAACAAATGAGCCGGCTCTCCCCTTGGTGGAGCCACCTCTACCTCATATGGAGTCAGCTCTACCCCTTATAGAGCCGGCTCTCCAAGCCCAAGAGTCGGCTTCCTCTTTGGTGAGCCGGCTCTCCTCCTTTGAGAGCCGTATCCCCTAACCTGTTCGTCTTCTTCGCCTCCGGCGAAGTTCAGAGTCACTGTACAATTTTTATAACTTATTTTAGGGTTCAATTAATGTCCTAGAATTAATTATAAGTATGCATCCAATCCCAAATATATCAAGGTTAAGCAAGATTAAAACCAATGCAAACATATTTTTAAGCGAGAACAACTTTCAACACAAAACAGATTTATGCAACGATTTAAAAGCTGATTCAAACATGCTTACAAGATTAATATTAACTTCAATTTAATCTATTTTAATATTGATTAATCCTTGGAGTCTAACTAGGCATGCACAGAATACGAATTAAAGGGAAGGAATAAAACAGAGACTTGCCTTGAGTTTCAGTTTTGAAACTCTAAACCACCATCTCTAAAGCTTTCGTCTACGTCCGAGACTCCTGTTCTACACCTCCGATGCTCTTGGTTCAACCCAGAAGCACTCCGTCCAATTATCCTTGAACCTCTTTAGGAATCTCTCAAAGTTCTCTCTGTCTCACCGTAGTGAATAGGGTTTTGTTTGTAACCCTAAACCAACGTACATTTAAAATCTATGTCGGCTATAAACTGTAACCCTAATATAACTATATGTGTGCCACCATACAGTCACATTAAAACCAATTAAATTTAATTAACTTAATTCAATTAAAACAACTAAATTAAACCACTTAAATAATTAACTATAATTAGATCAATTAAATTAAAGCAAGTAAATAATTAAATTCAATTAAATCACCACAATGAAAACAATTAATTAACACATATGCACGTCAACAATTGATGCAAATATAAACAAATAAAACAACCAAAACAAAAATTTATAATAAATAAATACCAGGAATATCCTTTTTAAAATTAGGGGTATTACATAAGGTTCGTGTCTAGTTTGAAAGTGAGATAGATTGAGAGATGGTTCGACGTGCTGCAGTTTTGGGTTATGCATTAAAAAGGAGTGAAAAGGTATGTTAACTTTTAAAAAATGAGTGGGAATGCAAATTTTGTATTGGAAAGGTCATTGAGTGTGGTCTCTTCAAATTCTATATTTTGATTAAAAAGAAAAAAGAGAGTAAAAAATGTATGGAAAAAATCAAAATTCTATACACTTTGTCACTTTTATAAATAGTATAGATAGATAGATACAGATCTCTATATTTGATGTAACCCCAAATCATCATGTTTCTAGCTGAGGTTTACCAAGAGGCTTGCATTGCCATCAAAAGAGCCATCAAATGTATGAACTCCATCAAAGCAAGAAATTCAAAGTGCACTTGAATAAACAATCTACATTTTGCATAGTGTTACCACTTGCAATCAATTTTTATCCTTTAATCTGCAAAGAAATAAACATGAATGTAACCTTTATGTTTCAACAAGCAGAGTAGTTCAGACTTTGGGATTATGTAGAGTGTGGAAATTATAATTGTTGAATCTGAATCTCCAGTGTGTAATGACACTTGGTGATGCTTCACTTGCCCTTCTCTTTTTTTTTTTTTTTTTTTAATTAGTTGCTTCACTTTCCCTTCTCAACTTCAATAGCCCGTTGATCAATCCATGAAATACACACTTATATCTATTTTCTCAATCCCTTCCACAATCTTATAAGCCTCTCTAACTCTAGGATTTATCAGTAGCCCAAAAATTAGTGACGCCAACGTCAAATTATCAGCTTCAATCCCTCTCTTATGCATTTCTTTGAACACCAAATGAGCTTGCCCAAGCTTACTTTTTTTGCACATCCAATTGATCACAAACCAAAATCATCAATCACTTTGGTCCTCATTGATTGAAAAAGTGTAATGTTTCTTATTTTCGCCATTTTTCATTTTTTTTAGAATTTATTATTTAATTGGAGTCTTACCCAATTGAAGATTTATGTTTCAGTTTATTGGACTTGGTTATATTGCATTATATATATATATATATATATATATATATATATATATATATATATTGATAAATGTATATATTGTAGCATCTGATGGAGGAAGCAAGAAGATGCACTGCTGAAATGAGATATTTATTTTCTTTTTCACGTGGGACCCACCATTATTCAATTATGTCATAACCCAAACCATCAATTCTTCCATCTCTCTCTGTCTCTCATGCAGCATCCCCCTCTCGCCCTTTTCTTTTATTTTTTTTCTTTTTCATCCAAAGCTTTAAATCTTGATTAATCTTCAACCGTTGAGAGTTTTTGGGTGCCGTTTGCAGCAAATCAAAGAGCTCGGCGAGATCTTCAAGTGGGTGTAAGCAATTTCAGTTTTGGTGCACTCTAGGGATTTTGATTTTTTGGCTCACTTTGGGGATTTTTGCATCTAAGTGAGGTAGGGGTTCTAAATCACATGTTCTTGAGCCTTTTTTTGAATTACTCTTCTTAATTGGTGATTAGCATGCTTGATTTGTAGAAATTTCATGCTATGTTATAAGTATATGTTGTGCCAAAGTTGTGACTATGTATTGCTTGATATACATGATGATGAAGTATGTTTAATTATTAATTTATTCAAACCATTTGTACCTTTAGTGCTAAGTTTGTGATTAGAAAGCATGAAATATATATTTTAGAATTTTTTGTTGCAAAGTATGTATATTGTTGAATTCTAATTTGATGAGCATGAATTTCTTTATTTGCACAACATTGAGATATATGAGACATTCATGCATAGCATTGGGCGAAGAGGAAAAAAAAAAAAAAAAAATTGGACAGAATTGTTTTAAAATGAAATAAAATGAAATAAAGGAGTTTTCGGAAAGATTTTTGATAAGGGGTTTTGGGAAAGATTTTTGATAAGGGGTTTTGAGAAAACCCGGACGTCGAGGAGGTACTGAGGGTTCGTGGCGTTAATGTAATCTAGAGGAAACTAAGGAAATCACCCTAGGGTGGTTGAGCTATCTAGCCCCAAATGACGCCGCGGGATTACCAAGGGTTAGGGACCATAGCCAATTTTTCTCTCGTGTCGCCGAAGAGTCACCGAGGGACGAATTATGTTAACGGTTTGAAAAGTGGAGAATGGAAGTGATTTTAAAAATGGGGAGCGACATAGCATGGCATAGCATTCCATAGCATCACATTATCCATTTTGGCATTGTAATTTGTTGTATTTTCTCCCGGCATAGCATGATCTCGTTTTCTATATTTCTATTCATTATTTGGATTCACAGGGTCACAAGAGGTGTGTCTTAGGCGCCACCTACTGAGCAATTTGCTCACCCCTTCATTTTAACATTTTTCAAGAAATAGGAAAGAAATGGCGGATGACGTTCCACCACAGGCCTAGTATGGATTAGATGATCATTTTATTATTTTTGTATCTATGTCCCACTATTTTTGTAAAACTTAGCATATTGTATTCTGTACTGAGACTTATAGACTCTTGTTATTGTAATTATATTCATGGGCTGTGTAACTTTACTATAAGTTGTCTAAACATTGTAAGACATGGACTTTTGATCTTAGCCATGATTTTGGGACTATAATTATAATATTTGGATTAAATGGTATGTGGTCGTTTCACCATGTGATGAACTATGTTGATACATAATGAATGGATGAAAAGAATGTTGAAATGTATTATTTGCAGTGTGTTGAGGCAGGTTAGATAAGTTTTGAAAGTCCAAGAAAGGCCATTGTATTTTTATGCATTTAAGCAGGTTGTTGTAGGACCCTCCTTAGCAGAGGTCATGCCGTATTTTTTTTTATATATATAATAGGTATCATTTTAGGGTCGTTACAAAAAGCTTCAATGCTTTATCGAATTGATTAGTCTTGAAAAGGGTCTCCATCATTGTCTCAACCGTCTATCTAATTCTGCTTGCAATTGCTTAAGTACATGCCTTCTCAGACATAACCACACTAACCTGTGCATTGGCAACAAAACACCTATGGGGTAATGTTTGCTTCTGTATTCCCACATCGGGAAAACATTTAATGTGAGGTATATGAAGAGTCTATATATTAGGTTGACAGCCTCATTCACAACATACTTACCTGGATGGGATCAATGGGCGATCAATAAGGCCCATGGTCTAGGTTGGTGACCTTCATTGCACTCAAGAGGGGTGCCCGCCTAAGGTCTACTCAAATAGTGGAACCTACATCATAATTTGTGATAGTGGGGGCCTGTATTCGCATGGCTCCTGACCAATTATTAAAGCCTAAGTTTTTTATACAATTTTGTTTGTGTTAGCCTGTCGACAAGGCCTAGTTTATATCCTATACCGTTTATGGGTTGGGCTATATAATAAGGCCCAGTCTTCGGGTTGTGGATCCAAGGCCCAGTTTATATCCTATACCTTTTATGGGTTGTGCTATATAATAAGGCCTACTCTTCGGGTTGTGGGTCCAAGGCCCAGTCTTCGTGTTGTGGGTTTGGACTTTTGTTATCAAATTTAGCCTGTAGACAAGGCCCGTATATCCTATACCGATTGGGTTTGGACCTATGTTATCAAATTTATTAGTATTTATTGATATTTAAGATTTTGTATTTATTATTTTTGGTAAAAATAAAATTGTATACTGTTTAGCATTGCTCCTATTTTGTTATAATTACTCTATTATGAAAAATCCTTAATATAAGGCCTTCGTTAATTTGTGGTACCATGTTCACGAACATGAAAATGTTCCATTAATTTTTAAATCTAAATTAAAATTTAGCTTGCTTAGCAATCCTACGGACACTTCAACGTGATAAGATAAGCTTCACCAACGTTACACCGAACTGCAATAAGAAAAATGGTGCAATCTATGGCCTCTTTTTCTACAAGGCCATCATCTCTCTCTCCTCAATCCATATTACACAATATATATATATATATATATATATATACATATCATCCATTTTATATTTCAACAATTTCCTTACAATGCCCTCTTTATGAACAAAGCAAAACAGAGTGCCCCAAAACCCCTCAGCAAAATGAGAGATGCAAATGCAGATAAGTTTGAAAAATTGCGAAACCAAACTTTTTGCATTGCCACGTAATGCCAAAGAAAATAATAATAATAAATATAAATAATAAATAAAACACTCTTGGAAAAAGTGGTACAAATTGCAAAATGTGCACATCTAATATTTAAACACCGGAGAATATTAATTTTATACTTCCACATCAATTTAAAGAATATAGGAAAATTGGATACGACTAAGTAAGAATTTCATAAGTCTAGCTTTATTTTTTAACATTGGTAATTATATATATACACATAAGCAACATTTTAATTATGAAAATACGAGACATTTGATTCTTTCACAAACATATATAGCCTAAGAGATTGTTGTGATAACTTTATAAATTGTGTTGATCCCTAAAAGTTGCTCCATTAATTTATATATTTTTATATATTCAATAGTCCAGTAGATTTTGCTCGACGCATATTTGTGAATGTAGAATGTAAGATAGGGCTGTGTGGGTACATAATGCTAGTGGTGGGCTAATGTCCCCACTCACATATCTTCCCTTTAGAATCTTCTCAATTCGAAAAATGTATCTTTCTATTTTATATAAACACAAGAAATGACTAGATGCATAAAGACACTATGTCTTCCATAAAGGTGGACTGACCGTGATCATATTATGCAGTTGCTTAGAAAAACCTTTGCATAAATATCTAATTGGTAGGTCCACTAAATGTGAACTTATAGTGGGTTCATCTTGGCTGCATTCCTAGAATTCAACAACTCTCTGACCAAACTCATGTCCTACATTCCATTAGTTATCTGACTTTATTGATAAGTTTAAGTGGATCCTACTTATATATGGTCTATTTTACCCAACGATAAATTGATATATATATATATCTTATTCTTTTTTGTTTTTTGTTTTTTTTTTTTTGGGGTATATTATATAACTATTTAATTTTTCAGTAAGTATACATATCAACTCTTTTTTTGTTCTTTTTTGTTTTTTATGTAAAATATGAGCTCCATTTCAAGACTTGTGGCTGCGTAATTCCCGGAGTCGAACACAAGACCTCTCGGTAATCCCCGGAGTCAAAGACAAGAGACCCTCCTCTGGAGCTAAACGTTGCGGCCTTGTTGGGTTAATTAATTGGATTAAAATTTTCAACTTACTAATCAAGTTAAAATCGACTAGAAGAGCAAACAACCCAATTCAAAGCGCCATGTTAGTTACCAACCTACAATTAGAATCTGGTCTCTACTTTAGAAGGTTACGAACCTTATGTTTGATTGGAGAGGTTTTTTTTTTTTTTTTTTTTTTTTTTTTTTTTTTTTTTTTTTAACGCTCAATTACAAGGATAAAATGGCTACAAAATTCATAAAACGAGTTATCAAATCAAAAAGTGGAGTACATTTTCATAAAGTAGAGAAAGAAGGAGATGGTATGGGTAAAAAGTGGAGTAGCAAATCAGTGGTCCCCACCGGTGATAATTCCACATTTGGATAATGCTATAGATAATATATAAATATGTTTTATATACTAGTATTTTTAACCTTTCTGTAGTGCTTTTTGGTCACTTTTCTCTTTCCCTCACAATAGCTATATTCATTTGTAATATACATAGCTCAAACAAATAATAATAAAATAGATAATGAGGTAAATGTACCACACCATTGCATGCACTTGCCAAAAAAAAAAAAAAAAAATTAGAATACCATATCAGCATTTTCAATTTTTTAAATAATGTTGATGCGACATTCTACTTTTATAAAAGTAGATAGAGTATGTAATGTGATCCACACCGAATGCTCTTAGTTGTGATCGTCCTTGTCTTAAATCGAGTCAAATTAGACCTATGAAGTATTGTTATTCTCATTGCATTCCATGAATGCGGTGGATCTGCTCTTAGTTGTGATCGTCCTTGTCTTAAATCGAGTCAAATTAGACCTATGAAGTATTGTTATTCTCATTGCATTCCATGAATGCGGTGGATCTTTCTTATTTTTTTATTTTTTTATTCTTCAACAATTTGTTTCTAATAAGTAAACACTGATGGATGAATATGTAATAGTCTAGTGAGAGAAAATGAGAAACATTTATAAACACACAAACATTGAAATTAAACCAACCAGGGAGGAAAGTAGAACAAAATGCCAAAATATATATATATATATATATATATATTACTAGTATCCCACAACAAGTATAATCACCTTAAATCTAACAAAATTAATCCAACAAAAAATGAACATTTATTCTATTGATTTGAAAACATGTTAAAAGACTTGAGACACTTAATTCAATCAATTCTACAAGGACCATGTCCTAAACTAAGTAAGCTTTGCGCAACAAAGGTATCTTTTTCAAACATGGCACATCTGCTCGAGGAGCTCCGTAACAAAGATATCACTCTGTCAAAATTATTTATCCACCATCCATACCTATCCAAACTCAGAATCGAAAATTGTTGGATTTCCCTTACATTTGTTCCTTATTTTCAAACTCTTCATGACTGGTATTTATTTATGTCCTAATTGCTAACAAAGATCAGATATGCATTTACCTTTTATAATATACTACTATACCAGTACTTGACAAGAACAAAAAGAAAGAAGGCTTATAGCTCGTGAAGGGTAAAAGGTCTGTCTGTATCTATCTTGGGGTTGGGTGTAATGTTTGGTTGTGCTGGGGGGTGCGTATGCGTTGTTGTATCCCACTCTTTGTGAATTTTCGATGTATTGTTTAAATTTGCATCTATATGTAGTTGCTTCTGTTGTCCCACATCGAAAAAACATAAATTGAAGTTATGTAGATAGGCTTATATAATGAGTTGAAAGCACAAGTTTCAACGTACTTACCTGGATGGGATCTATGGGTGATCGATAAGGTCCATGGTCTAGGTTGGTGACCTCCATTGCACTGAGGAGGGGTGCCCGCCTAAGGTCTACTCAAGTAGTGGAGCCTACGTCATAATTTGTGGTAATGGGGGCCTGCGTCCGCGCGGCCCCTGCCCAATATTTGAATTTAATGTTTTTTATATTGTTAATGTGTACGTCATAATTTGTGGTAGTGCGAACGCAACCCTTGCACAATATTTGAATTCCAAGTTTTTTATATTGTTAATGGGTTGCGCTATAAATATATATGGCCTCGTATGGAGATTATGTTGGTTATTATTACTGATTTGGGCCTCATAGAATGAAATCTATTAGTATTATTACTAAATAGATTTTTTATTTATTTTATCAATTTGAGACTGCTATTTTTATTTTTAAGTTCGTCACTCACAGCATAAGACGTCCAGTAGGATAGGATAATAATATAATTGACCATAAAACTCCCATTAGGATAGGAATTTGAAAATGGAATTGGTACCAATCCTTGAGTTTGAGCTCAAGAACGACCCTACAACTATAGGCCGTTGTTCCGACATACTCATACAAATTACATCAAAACAACTCCAATGTCAAATTATCAGCTTCAATCCCTCTCTTATGCATTTCTTCGAACACCAAATGAGCTTGCCCGACCTTGCTTTTTTACACATCCAATTGATCACAATTAGGTCCTTATTGATTGAAAAGGCTTCAATGCTTTCTTGAAAAGGGTCTCCACTTTCTTAAGCATCTCAAAACCCTTCATCAACCATCAAATTCTGAACTTTAGAAGCCCTCAATGAAATCATTACAATTTGCAACAATCAAATCAGTAAATGCATAAAGATATTACGTCTTCGATAAAGGTGGACTCACCGTGATCATATTATACGATTACTTAGAAAAGTCTTTGCATAAATATTTGATAGGTAGATCCACTAAAGGTGATCTCTAAGTGGGTTTATCTTGGCTGCATTCCTAGAAGACTAACCGTGATCATATTATACGATTGCTTAGAAAACCCTTTGCATAAATATTTGATTGGTAGATCCACTAAAGGTGATCTCTAAGTGGGTTTATCTTGGCTGCATTCCTAGAAGACTAACCGTGATCATATTATACGATTGCTTAGAAAACCCTTTGCATAAATATTTGATTGGTAGATCCACTAAAGGTGAGCTCCTCGTGGGTTCATCTTGGCTGCATTCCTAGAATTCTACAACTCTGGCCAAACTCGTGTCCCAGATTCTACTAGTTATCTAAGTTTATTGACAGGTTTAAGTAGATCGAGTAATAGAACTTGTATGTGGTCTATTTTAATATATATCTTGATATATATCTTCTTCAAATGATTATGAGTACGTTGATAAGCCCAGATCATCAATCATTTTGGACCTCATTAATTGAGAAAGCTTCAATGCGAATTGATTAGTCTTGAAAAGGGTCTCCATCATTGTCTCAACCGTCTGCCCCAATTCTGTTTGCAACAAAGTATGCCTTCCGAGACATAACCACACTAACCTATGCATTGGAAACAAACACTCGTGGGATAATGATTGGTTCTGAAGTCCCACATCGGGAAAACATAAATGTGAGGTATTTAAAGAGTCCTATATATTAATTTGAAAACCTATGTGACAACATACTTACCTGGATGGGATCAATGGGCGATCAATAAGGCCTATGGTCCAGGTTGGTGACCTCCATTGCACTCAAGAGGGGTGCCTGTCTAAGATCTACTCAAGTAGTGGAGCCTATGTCATAATTTTAATTTGTGGTAGTTGGGGCTTGCGTTCGTGCGGTGGGGCTATAAATATATAAGGCCCAGTATGGAGTTTATTATATATTGTTAATGGGTGGGGCTATAATTATATAAGGCCCAGTATGGAGATTTCGGCCACCAATCAAATATAAATGAGATCATGGTGTCACGGACTGAAATCCATCAATTATTACTAGATAGATTTTTTTATTTATTTTGTCAAAATGCATTTTTATGAGGAAATGAAACTTTATTTAGAAATACTTTCAATTGATATTTAAGTTTTCATATTTATTATTTTTGTAAGAACAAAATTGTCTTGTTATTGTTCAACATTGCTCCATTTAAGCTGTTCTCTTACTCTTGAAGGCTTGATTATCAATTTGAGATTACTATTTTTATAATTTTCCGACACCATCTCCCAAAAATGATGTAAATACGTCCTAGTGAAATTGGTACAAATGGAAAGATAACAAAAAATCCTTGAGTTTGAGCTCAAGAATGACTCTACAACTATATATTGTCAATGGGTGGGGCTATAAATATATAAGGCCCAGTATGGAGATTTCGGCCTCCAATCAAATATAAATGAGATCATGGTGTCATGGACTGAAATCCATCAATTATTATTACTAAATAGATTTTTTTATTTATTTTGTCAAAATGCATTTTTATGAGGAAATGAAACTTTATTTAGAAATACTTTCAATTGATATTTAAGTTTTCATATTTATTATTTTTGTAAAAAGGAAATTGTCTTCTTATTGTTCAACATTGCTCCATTTAAGCTGTTCTCTTACTCTTGAAGGCCAGAAAATTGATTATCAATTTGAGATTACTATTTTTATAATTTTCCAATACCGTCTCACTAAAATGATGTAAATACGTCCTAGTAGGATAAGATGACAAAAAAATCCTTGAGTTTGAGCTCAAGAATGACCCTACAACTATAGGCCGTTGTTTCGACATACTCATACAAATTACATCAAAATGACCCCAATGTCAAATTATCAGCTTCAATCCCTCTCTTATGCATTTCTTTGAACACCAAACGAGCTTGCCCGACCTTGCTTTTTTACACATCCAATTGATCACAGATTGGCCCTAATAAGCTTCAATGTTTTCTTGAAGAGGGTCTCTATCATTTTTTCAAGCGTCTCAATATCGGCCCGAACCCTTCATCAACCATCAAATTCCAAACTTTAGAAGCCCTCAATGAAATCACCCACATTCACAAAATCCAAAAATCAAGTACTTTTAAGTATCCCCACTTGGCTGGAACCTTTCTTTCAACTTGGTAACTATGTGCTGAGCCTCAATAACAAGCTTAGACCCACACAGAGTCACCACCACCTTATTCAAAGTCTCTACACTAGAACAACAACCATAGTCATTCATCCGATGAAAAAACTCAACACAAATTGGCTCTCAGCATCCAAAAATTCTCAGAAATGGGAGACAATTTGACCAACCACAAAACTAGTCTCCCACAACTCTCCATGGTATTAGATGTGGCATAAATCGATTGTTGCAAATTGAAATGTTTTCACTTGTCCCACATCGGGAAAACATTAGTGGGAGTTATGTGGTGAGGTGTATATAACGAGTTGAAGGCATATTGTATAACATACTTACCTGGACGGGATCAATGAGTGATCAGTGAGGCCCATGGTCTAGGTTGGTGACCTCCATTGCACTCAGGAGGGGTGCTTGCTTAAGGTCGACTCAAGTAGTGGAGCCTACGTCATAATTTGTGGTAGTTGGGGCCTGTGTTCACGCAGCCCCTGCTCATCTTCCTTTAGGTTGGCTTAGCCCGTTCATCTTCGACCCTACGAAAGAGCGTGGCTTGCTTTTACGATAAAAGCCCTTTTCCCTCAAATTGCTTTTGTTTGGCCTTAAAAAAAATTTATAATCTCCCCAATCCTTCCCAATGATTAAAAAAACAAATGTAATGTTTGAGAGCTCAATTTTCTAAAATTATACTGGTGTAAGATGCAAATTAATAAGAATTATTGAAAAATAAATAAAATTGATTACCTTTTTAGTTCCATTCTGATGCTCACCAGTGAAAAAAACATGAAGCAGGGCAAGTAACCAGGAATAAAATGCCAGGAGAAGTCCACAAAATTTGTGGCCATATCATCCATATTTTGATTTTCCAGCACGGCTGAAATGTTGCTTTTTTAGAGCTGTAATTTGGGCTACTGATTTTTTAATGAACAAATGGCGGTGAAAGAGGGGATGGTCACTTCAAAAAGCGCGGGATTACAGTAACAAACGGCAGCATGCCAGCAAATGATATTGCAGATGATATAATTGCAGAAAACCAAAATGCACGTTAGATTGAACAAGACATCTCCAGTGAACAACAAACACAAAGTTAGAAGTTCCATCACAAAACAATAATAATAATAAGTGAAACAGCTTATGAACAAATATAGACAACAATCTCAACTGTTTTACACCAAAATTTTATATTATCCCACTTCAACACAAAATGAAAAAGAAACAATTGGAACCGATGATATCCAACAAGTTCCCCAACATTTTAATAGATTTTCAAAAGGACCACGCTTAATTAACGGAGAAATAACTTTGACCTTGGTCATTAATCTACCGCGTCTTGAACTACTGACTTGGTTCTATTCATTAGCAACCCAAAGAAACAAGTAATGCTACGATGCCCAAATTGGTTTTTTGGTGACTCCAATATACAGTCTCCAACAAGAACAGTATAAAATAGAGTCTCTCTTTCTACTTATATCATTTTCCAAATCAAAAGATCCCAGAACTACAATTCTTCCAGTCTGGTTGTTTTAATGGGGAAGAAAAGAAAAGAATACAACAAGAACATAACATAGTTCAAAATCACTCATTTTGTGTACTATCAAATCATTGCCAATTCTCATGACATGGCTAATAGAAGCAAAGGCAAAGCTCGGAATGGCTAAGCGAATATCAAACAACACAACTTTCTATCTCCAATGGCCCGGGATTCTCCCCAACAACAGCATTTACAACAAGTGTGATTCTCAATACATACTTGACTGAGGCCACATTAATGTGTCCAAAAAATCGGCTTGTGCAAACAAAAGAATTCGGAAACACTGCACCACCCCACTACCAGCAATATGGGGTAAGGGGTAGAAAGCAGCCTAAACATTGAATTTAATAACTCCCTCTCTAGGAGGCTGCCATCCATGAAGACAATGAATTATATTAGGGCGAGAGATAATCTGACCTGGATCTAATTGCTCGACATTACTGCGTGCGTGCAGGGCTGATAAGCGCAAATGATGGCAGCTCTTGCATTTCATCCTAAAGGGTTCTGCAAGACTGATATTTTTTGGAGATTATTTTGAAAACAATTTATGTCTTAACCATTAACAAGATAAGAAGATATGCATTTAGCTTTTGTATCATTTGACAATAACAAAGGTAAGCTTACCTCGTGAGGGTGAGGTGAAGTTTATGTACTGATGTTGTGTAATGTTTGCTTCTCTGTAGTTCCACATTGGAAAAACATAAATGTGAGTTTTCTGGGGAGTCCTATATATTAAGTTGAAAGCCAAATTCACAACATACTTACCTGGACGAGATCAATGGGTGATCAAAAAGGCCTGTGGTCTAGGTCTGTGACCTCCATTGCACTCAGGAGGGGTGCCCGCCTAAGGTCTACCCAAGTGGTGGAGCCTACTTCATAATTTGTGGTAGTGGGGACCGCGCGAATGAAAAGTTGTGTTTCCTATATTTCAACTCCCTCTATTTAATTTTTTGTGTTTTTTCAAATATGAGAAAGATTTCATTGCAAAAAATCAAACATTACAATCTTGATCAACTTCTAGGATTAGAAAAGTGGAGATAATCTAAGAGTCTATATCAAATGACCAAACTAATTCCTAATGTCAACCAACAAAGTTTGGATTATTACTGGAGCCACACTACATGAATAAAACACTAGATTAACATCCCCCGGTCTTTTACTGCAATCTCTTGCAGCAGAGGAAGTCGAATCACTACACAAATGCACCATTTCTTCGTCTGAACTTCAGAAATCAAAATCAAACGATGTATGTTTTATGTCTCACTTCTTGTATTAGTAAATGCTTTTACAAGCCAAATCAAAGCTTTTAATAACTCCCTTTTCTAGGAGGCTGCCATTCATGAATGGAATGGATTGTAGCAGGGCTAGAGATAGTCTGACCTAGATCCAATTGCCTTTGAGCATCCAAAAAATCCCAGAAGTGGGAGACAATTCGACCAACCACACAACTAGGCTGCCACAACTCTCCATTAAAAGGAAAATGATTATGAAATGCCATAGTATTAAATGTGGCAGAAATCGATCACAAACTCTTCAACTGTGATACCCCCTGATTTCGGAACACGGGTTGATCAAGTCCGCGCACAAAATCAAGGGATATCAAAACAATTTAAGTATTTAACAAGCACAGAATACAAAGATGAATAATAAAGAATAAATAAACCGCTGAAGAAAACTAATAAATAAATATTACTTAATGATTCTCTAACAATTACAATTCGGAAATCCCATAACTCAAGGACCCCTTAAAACATTATCCAATAATCCAATACTATTTAAAAGTACACAAGATGAATAGACGAATGACAGTCTCCCAGTTGCGGATCCTCAACCTCGAGACTGGAACCTCTAATAACCTGAAAAATAAATCGTGGGTTAAACCCTACGAGCAAGTTCACTCTACCAGGCCTCTGAAAACCAATAAGCAGATCATCTCTGATCAAAACCAAACCTAATAAAGTTTTAACTTTAATAAAGTACGATATACATGTCTATATATAATTATATATACTATACTAATCACATCCATTAATAGGTTTATTAAATTTCCATACATATTAAATAATTATTAAAATAATATTCATACCTAGACCAATCTACCATTTCATTTTATAAAAACTCCTTTGACCTTAATCACATCCTAGTCAGTTGTTTAATCATTTAAACAACAAATTATAATAAAAGAAATACTCTATTTAATCCCAACCCGATAATGATTTTAATTGTTTAAATCACATATCCAAAATTCAAGTTTTGACAAATCATCCACGTCTTCCCCAATATTATTTTATTAATGTAAAATAATACACTGACCAGTAAGTACTAAAATATTCTCATTTAAGAATATCTAACCCTAATCCAATCCATACATACAACAACCATAGATGATATTTTAATCATCTAACACATAACAACGTAATTATGCTTTGGCAAATCAACCATGCCATTGTAAATATTTTTATTTATATATTGGCAATTCAACCATGCCTCCATAAGTATATTTATTTATACATTGGCAATTCAACCATGCCTCCGTGTATGTATATTTATACATTGGCAATTCAACCATACCTCCACAGGTATATTTATTCATACATTTAATTAGCAATTCATCCATGCTTTCCATATATGTATTCTATTCATACAAATATTTAGGTAATATATTTAATCATTTGACAATTCATCCATGCCCACACTTTAACCATGAATTAACTTTAAAATTAACAATACGCTAAATCATACATAGCCATCACATGCATATTATACGCATATCATTAATTTAACAACCAGCCTATTAAGATATGCCAAATAAGAATGATAATATTAATCATCTTAAATGATTTATATATATATATACCTACACATATGTTATTTAATGTATATATGTGTTTAACACCTTCTTTAATAATCCTTGATTATTTAAAATCAATATACATACATACATACATATATATATATATTCATCCTTCCATACAACTCATAGACAAATTAAACTATATATACACATATATAAATAATTTTTCCATACAACTCATAGACAAATTAAACTACATATACACATATATAAATAATTATATATATATATATATATATATACACTTCCTTCCATAACAAATTATTAATTTATTATATTTACACAAATTAGTGCAACTAAATATGTCAGAAATAGTTTCCTTTAAATACTCCATATTGGTTTAAATAGTTTTCCGACACTTTCTCACTAAAACATAAATATCTCCTAGTAGGATGGGAATCTGATAATGAAATTGGTACCATTGGAAAGAAGACGAAAAATCCTTGAATTTGAGCTCAAGAATGACCCAATTTCGATTTAAAATGACTAAGTTATGACCGTTTTAATTTCTAGTGTCGAATTAGGCCAACATAGTTTCCCACGCGCGCCCACGTGCTTACTATGCACTTGCACGCGCTGGATTCAAGCCTCCTTGTGTGCTGGTATTGGCTAAGCTCTTTCAGCTACCGTGAGCTCACCACACTGAAGCCATCACTTCCTTTATGCCGCATCCAATGGTCATAAATGAGTGCGCAAATGAACACGCTCACACTAGATTATTTTCTATTAACTATAATAGATCTAAGGTCCAGATCAGCGAGTGCACCATCTTCTCATGGTCTGCAATACACCAAATAATCCCATAGTTGACCAGACCACTTCTATGGTCCAGATACACTTGCGCACCAAACTTTTATGCGCCGCGATGCACCATATCAATTCACATAAGTTTAATTAATCAAATGGCCCTAATTGGCGTATACACCCTATTATCCTACACCGCGCTGCACTGGATCAATTCTTTATTGTGCCGCCGCTCCACATGCGCCAGTTACCTAGTATATATATATATATATATATATATATATATATATATATATAATTATTTTCCTAACAAATAATAGGAAAATAAATCCTAATAAATTCCTAAAAATATAGAAAAATTTCAGAAAATTACAGAACAATTCTAGAAAATAAAGAAACCATAATTAACTCTCTTGGGTCACAAATCCACCTATAGATTGATTTTAAAATATACATAACACATATATATATCAATTAAAATCCAATAATCTAAAAATCAAATATAATAGTTTATACTTTTTAATTATTCCGATCTAACCATAATTTTTAAACAAATAAATTTAATTAAAGCCTTGATACTCAAGGTGAAATCCTTATGAGTTCTAAGAGGAAAGTTAGAGAAAACTCGCCTGAAGGTTTCGAAACGAAACCGACGCTTTAAGCTTTAATTATCTCTTCCAATTCCGACGTCCTCCTTTTCAGATCCGACCTCCTCCTTGTCAGCCCTTCTTCTTCCTCTCTCTCTGTCTGTTTTATTTTTCTAACGTGTAAAACCTTTAACCCTAAAGCCTTATGTGTATTTTTACACACCTTAAATTCCAAATCCTATTCCAACTAGTATTATGAATTAAAATAATAATCTTTAAATAATTTATATCTATAAACATATATATATATAAATATATATTCCTTCCATAATTAACTCATTAGTTAATTAAATCATATATACTTATAAATATCAATAAATATATATCTATATATATATATCTTTCCATAACAATTATTAATTAATTATATTTATATATAATTATATATATATATATATATATATATATATAATTGATACAAAAGTGATCATTTAAATAATTAAATAACCACGGACCTTCATTAATTAACCCAATAAGGTTTCATACAAGCCCAAGACTACATCTTTTGGTCCAACTTTCCTTAAGTCCAATCCAATTAATTTAAATAAATAAGATAATTAATTAAATACAGAAATTAAAATAACTAATTACATGAAGCACATAAACAAACAAGAATTTACAACTAAGTCATATAATACCAATAAAATCAACACACCAATAATTCAATCAATAATCAACCACACAAACAATCAATCATCATACATAATCACGAAATATAACTTAATTAAAATAAGATAATTAATCTAGCACTCAATAAAATAAAATAAATCATTGAAAAATAAAATAAAATAATTAATCCTAATTAATGAATCTTTTAAAATTATCGGGGTATTACATCAACACACTCTCCAATCTATCCAGTTCTCTATGCAATTGCTTAACTATTCCTCATTAGACCACCACATTAACTGTCCATGAGTACTGAATGTTCGTTTCTGCAGTCTCGCATCGGGAAAACACAAGTAGGAGTTACATAGAGAACTCTATATAACAAATTGAAAGCATATTGTACAACATACTTACCTGGACGGGGTCAATGGGTGATCAAGAAGGCCCATGACCTAGATTGGTGACTTCCATTGCACTTGGGAGGGGGGCCCGTCTAAGGTCTACCCAAGTGGTAGAGCCTATGTCATAATTTGTGGTAGTGGGGTGTAACGACCTGAACCCGAGGGTCCGAATCGCTAACCGGGTCCTTACCCGAACCCGAGGTCAAATAAAGACGGTACCTTCCTTTCCTATGTCAATACATAATATGCATGTCATCCCAGTGTTTTTTTTTATAAAAAAAAATAGTAATAACAATAATAATAATAAGATATCATAGTTACAAAATATGTCAAAACAGTCCACTAACCCATCGAACCCTGTGGAGGAGCGTTGTCTGCCACTTCCCTTCCGTATCCTGAAAAATGTGAATCCATATAAGGAATAAAGTACAAGTAAGTGGGGTCATACCTCGGGGAAAACAAGCAAAACAACGATAATACCAACAATGCATACTCAAGTCATCTAACCACCAAATGTACAATGTATGCCAATGCAATGCAATGTCGCTCCCCATTTCCAAAATGATACTGTTTCAATCCTCCAAACTGTTAGTGCAATCCGACCCAAGGCACCTCCAAGGCGTCACGAGGGAGGGATTGGCTAGCTTTCCCCGAGCACATAGCACCTCCA